AAACGCTTAAGAGTCTGTCTGCAGATAGATGAAAATCTCTGCTTCTGTGATAAATGTCTCCCGGTACAGCTGCTGAGTGTTGCAGGGAAAATGTAGGATCTGCTTACTCTTTTTCTGAAACCTGACATTTACTGTTGATGCTTCAGATAGCTGAAGAATTATCTTCTATCAAACTGTATCGCTGACAACATTTAGCCATGGAAGCTGTCAAAAACGTATACTCTGCTGGTCAAAAACTATTGCTGTAGCTAACAAAAGTTACTGTGGAGCAATGCTTAGCTAACTGCTAATATTGCTATCCTAATATGCTGAGAGCGCCAATCATAACACTGTGTTTGTTAGCACTCTTTTTTCAAAGGGATATCTTTCATTCTAAGACTCTGTATTTGCATTCAGAGACTTTAAAAACATAGCTTTGCATGCTGCCATATAAATGGGCTCTTTTAAAGAGTGTCTGAAACAATCCATTTTAGCACGTTTCTTACAGGTCACCTTGCTTACAGCCCATTTTCTTCTTCTTTTCACAGTCTTTGTAGAAGCCTTTGCTTGTTGGCATTTTCATAATTTAATTAAAAAAGATAAACTTATAAAAGATAAACGTGCATAAAGATTGCAATCCTTTTTCGTTCCAATCTCGATGAAAGTGACTTATAGCTCATAAAAATCCCAAATCCAGTATCTCAAAGTGTTCCTAAGATCAATCAGGATGGATATTCTATACAATATAAAAAGAAGCCTGTCGCACTTCTGAGGTGTTATTGAAGCCTGGGTTGTGGTGTTCAGGTCAGGGGAGGTGGTTGGCCAATCAAGCAAAGTAATAATATGGTCAGCAGATAATTTGGTAGTAGTTTTGGCACTGTGCCAGGTGATAAGAAATTGGCATCTCCACAAAGCTCGCATGCTCTAAAATCACTTGGTAGACAGCAGTGTTGACTTTGGACCTGATAAAACACAGCAGTCCATCTGCCAGCACCTGCACCAGCAGATCACATGTCACTCTAACTCAGGGGTGTCAAACTCAAATACACAGTGGGCCAAAGTTCAAAACTGGAACAAGGTCGCGGGCTAACATTAATATTTATTGAAAAAAAAAAATCTTCCTCCAGATTTAAGAATGAATCTCTTCTAATGGACTCAAACAATTTTTGCTGAAAAACCGAATATGGAACAAGGAAAGCTTAACACTAAACAATATATATATTAGTTGTATAATACCAGTAGGCCAGCTCTAATAATAATTTGGTATGGCTCGCGGTATGGCCAAATTTGGCCCGCGGGCCAGAGTTTGACACCTATGCTTTAACTCATCACTGACTTCACCGTAGACTTCAAACACCCTGGATTCTGCTCTTTGCTCTTCCGCCAGACTTTAAGAACTTGATTTCCTAAAATACTGAACTTACTTTCATCTGAAAATAAGAATGTGTCACAGAACCTTTGGTTTAGGAGTGTCTTGATATAAGGGGTGAAACAGTTGTTTGTTGGCTCTGACAACATGCACATGTTAGTAGGTGTACAACAATCACCATCACACAAACGTTCATGCTATTAGCAACAACATTTGCTAAAAGCCATTAAAGAAAAAAAAAGCAGATCTGAAAGGAACAAAATTAGTTTTGCAGGTTTGATGGATTTACATTTTGACATAATGGTGGTAGATAATTAGTAAAGAGGAAACTCCCACCAGATCCCAACTCACGGTTGGTTTTTTGGGGGGGGTGTTGGGATTAATCAGGTCAGTTAGTTATAACCTTTAAAAAGAAGCACCCTTTACCTCTAAATTTGGTTGAAAAGTGTGATGGAAAATTTTTGTTTCACCTCATCTAAACTCTGCGTACTATTGATATGCAATTGTAAATTTCTTGTATAAGAGTGTATGAAGACGGGAAAACAAATGACTTTAGGATTTGCTCAAGGCCATGATACACTTCATTATCAAGCTGGTGCCTAGATGATGGCGAGGATTTCACTCCCAACCACTGAATAGACAAAGATTGTATCCGCACAACGGCTTTAAAGGAGCTGTTATTATTTTACCTGTTGGTCAACGCTGGTACAAACCCCGTTTGCATTGTATTGATCCCTTTGCAAGGGTTTAACTTTCTTTCAATAAATCTCAGAAAATCTGTTTGGTTTCAATGCTTAAATTATTTTTCCGCAACAAAAGAGAAGAGGTGATTCATGATTTTTTTTTCTCAAAAAAGAGCTTGGCATTTTTACTAAATTAAATAAATAAAATCTTATCCATACATCCATCCATTCGCTTCCGCTTATCCTTTTCAGGGTCGTGGGGGGCAGTGGAGCTTATCCCAGCTGTCTTAGGGCGAGAGGCAGGGTACACCCTGGACAGGTCGCCAGTCTATCGCAGGGCCAACACAAAGACACATTCACACCTCTTTTCAATTTAGAGTTTCAAATTAACCTGTCCCCACTAAATAAAATCTTATTTGGTTGTGAAATGTTAGAATGTGGACATATAATGCCGACTAGCCCTGAAAGTCATTTTTTAAACAATAACAAATTTAGTTTTATAAATCTCATGTCATTATGTGCTTCTGTCACTGGAAACAACATTAGCAGGGCAGCGGGCCTGATGGCAAGAATGGCCTAAGCTCTAATCTCCTGTTTGTTTGATATTTATATTTTATTCCTACATACTTGCCGTAGAGCACCCACAATTTGGTTTTAAATGTACAATGAAAATAAAAGACTATTCTCTTCTCTTCTATTGTTGGCATAGTTGTTGTTGATAAAATACACCGTTTTACTCTTTAATAGAATTTAAGATATGTTTTCTAGACTACCTTTGAACGAAACTGATGAAGACAGCATTCAGGTTTTACTTTTTTTTACCAAATCTCAGTGTTGTTTAGAATTCTCCAAAGTGATCTGTAATATCTTCTCAACAATATTTGCTGGGTAGGAAAGTTAGTGGACCAACAAAGTCATAAAAGTCATTAAAGTAAATGGAAATCCACAGAGAAATTGTTGAGATATTTCAGTCCAGACTAAAGTAATAGAGTGACCAACCAAGCATCCCTTGAGCCACTCTTCTAGCATGTCTAACAAGTACATGCAGCTATTCCTTAATAGTATGGATTTTCTTCTACAGCAACAAATGACTCATTGCCTGAAAAGCAGGAAAAGTTGACATAATCCCCGAAGACTGCAGGCTTCAGCCTTTTACAGCTCATGGACTGCTCTTGCAACTTTACAGAGCAGCCAAAAGACACACTATGTTTCCTGGAGGCCCCCAGATGTGAACATCTTAGAGTGTATAAAAGCAAACACCTAACAACAAACATGTGCAAACAGATCTGTGAAAGTGCCACAGAAAAAGATGAGGCTCACAATGGGTTACAGCGCCTAAACACGAGTGAAGCGCACATACACACCTGCACACACCTTGTCCAACTTAAAATTCCTGTTTTCCTCCTGCCTGTGCTGTCAAGGGTAATAAAACTAACTTACAACTGCGTTCTCCCACCACACGGCCTGGAAGCAGAACTCCTCCCACCCCCTTAACTTCTTCATTTAAATGTGCATTTTGAAGAACAAGCGCTTTTCACATCTCCAAAGGATGTTGATGACTTGAGCACAAATCTCCATACATTTTCATGAGCTAGAAGCAGCGCTATCACGGCGATCTGTGAGGAAATAGCTGGCAGGTTTATGAAAATATAAATTGAAATTTTTTATGAGGAGCGCAGTAATTGAAATATGAAGCAATAAATGAAATATTTATTTTTCAACAGAAATATATCACTTTGATAAAGCTGTTATTGGTGTGGGCCGACTGTCATATTTGGACATTTTTTTCTGCATTTCTTTATAAAATGGAATTTGTGGATGTCCTTACAATAAAGCTTTATGGATCAACATAAAACACTGTTTACTGTCATGGGTAATGCTATTACATTTAAAATCTTTGGTGGGGCACCAAATAATAGATAATGGAAAAAGAAAACAAACCCTTTAAAGTGATAGGAAGGGATTTTTTTATGTTAGTCCTGGTTTGGGGAGATAGAAGGAACAACGTGGTTTTTCTTACACTTATCTGTTCATGCAGATAGTTTCCCTTTCATTAGTCCAGGCTTTGAGATATTTCTATTTTTCTGCTGTCCCAGCACAATGAGGATAGATGTATATTGGGACTACAGAAAATGGTCCCCAATAATGCTCTACAATGGCCTTTCAAGAACCACTTCAGTTCAGCTATCTTATAAATGATTTACACTCACCACTTTACACTTTATTATAGTAATGGGTTGGACCCCATTTTTTAATTCAGATTTTCCTTAATTCTTTGTGACACAGATTCAACAAGGTAGTGGAAATTCTTCAGATATTGTGGTCCATGTTGACATGATAGCATTTCCTGTTCCACCACAAATGTTCTCTACTGGATTAAGATCTGGTGACTGTGGAGGCTATTTGAAAGTACAGTTGGTGCTCAAATAACACTAAAATGTTCCAAGAAAAAGTCCCCCAAACCATTACACACCAACAGACTGAACTATTGATATGAGGCAGGACAGAACCACACTTTCATGTGAGTCGACCAAAGACTGACTCTACCAGGAGAAGAAATTAAGACAATTTTTATAGTCTTCTGTTGTCCAGTTTTGGTGAGGTGTCTGTAGTTTCTGTTTTTTAACTGACAGGAGTGGTACCCGTAATTATGAGCACTGTTGAAGAGATGTATATAATAAAGTGGCCAGTGTCTGTAGAAAATTAAATTAAACCTTATTAATATTTTATATATTGTTCTAAAACCTTCATATTTCTTGAACATGTCTTATTATATTTTGATTTTGATCCACAGTGCCTCTTACCTTATGGATCTATTTTATCTTGTTGTATTATTGTATATTTTCTTTTACTAATCTTTTTGACATTATTTGCACTATTTTTAATAGTTGTGATTAATATCTGAAAATTTAGGATAAATAAACTGTATCTTATACAACTATAGTATTTTACTCAGATTGCATGCTTACCAAACACTTTGAGGAAGAGCTCTCTTTCCTGGGATCCTGCCTTATTGGTGGCTCTGCAGGAGTAGGTGCCTCCATCACCCTGCCGGATGTTGCGGATGGTTAACATGCTCCGCCCGCCATCAAGCCTGTTCAAAATGTACTGGTCCGATGGCTCCAGCTGCTGCCCTTTCCTGCACGAGTGAAAAGCAGAGGCACATAAGTAAGGAGTGGAAATATTTGGCAACTACCTCAAAACTGACACTGAACTCCTAAAATATGAATGCGTCAGTACACGTTTGATGTTACAGATGTATAATCTCTGTATTTTGGGTGTCAACCGATCCCATAAAAATCAGGCAAAGTGCAGACACCTCGGCTTTGAAACTATTTCTATCTATAGCAGGTAAACAGGTGAAAACATGACGGCACTTTTTATAGACACTATGTGATGAAAGGATTGTTTTGGATAAACAGATCAGGCAATAATTGAAATAACAATTGCTCAATGAATAGTTTGTTGTATGTCATCAGAGTTGTGAAACTCTGCCATGCAGAAAAGTAACATCTTTATTGTGTCAGTTACAGGCCTGCCAGCACTCACTAGTGTTGCTGTGAATGTTTTCTTATGGACTGCAATGCTCACTAAATGACTCCGGTGTGGTGTGGAGATGCATTGCTGACTTAATGTCTTTTCTTACTGGGCTCTGTGGGGAAATTATCCAGAAAAATCAAACTGATAAATTGACGCATGTCTATATTTAAGCTTCATAACAAAATCATAATAGTCTGACGCATGTTAGCTGCCTCCTCCGCTTGTTTATTTGCAGCTAGTTAACCAGGCGTGTAGTCTAAAAGGTTCAAGGGATAGCTTTGTTTTTTTTGATTTAGACAACAGGTCCTTTTACAGCATTTGTAAGCCGGTAAAAATAAGATTAGCTTAGTTACTGAATTCATGTAGGATCAAGCAGCAATGGCACCCAAAACACGGGAAATACCTGTTTACATACATTTAATTTTGTAACACAAATTTAATTCTCTGATATGTAACCAGAATTTTCCTTTAAGATCTACTTTCCTATACTGCATATCAGCAAACTACAGACAGCTGAAGTTTGTGTTTAGTATGTGAATACCCAATACAGCCCAATACTTTACTTATGAGCTTATGGATATTACAACAAAACAAACTTAGTATTGACCTGGGGGACACAACATGGGAAGATTGCTGATGTTGCTCTCCATGTCCTGGATTTGTAAATACATACCTTTTGTAACATGGTAGCATTCTTACTATGAAAACTGATAATACTGTTGTGCTATTTATGAATATTAATAAATAAAAATGCCAAAAAAGGACAAATTTGGAAGGGACTCTTTAAAACTAACATATACAAACCAGTGTGTACAGTGCAGATTTAACTAGACTTTGTTTTGCATATTGCATTTCCTCAAATAAAATAACTGCAGCCAGTTAAAAGCTGTGTCTCTAATAAACACTTGGGAAGTGGTTGGTGCAAACAAATTAAAGCCAGACAAAATGAATGTTTGTTCATGTCTGTGTCAGTTTAAGTAAACTGTGAGAACATGGGTGCAGCAGTTTCTGGGTTGCTCTCTGGCAAAAGATCTCTACAGAGATCCAAACTGATCTTTATTATGTGTGACTTACTGCGCTCTGCAGTTTTATCAGTACATGCATTAACTTTACCAAAGCAAATGGAAAGTTTTTTAGTGAAATATGCTACTTATTAAAAAAAACCTTAAAAACAAATACAGGCCTGCCTTTGATCCAAGCCCTGGTTACTACTTCCTTCTGATAACTTTTTAAGAACCTTCTTCTGTCATAAAACAAAAAGTTATTGCTTTAACTACTGCTTCAACACAGCTTTTCTCTACTTTGTTGTTATAACTAAGCTTCATTGGAGCTTTTCTAGTACTTATATTTAATTTAAGCTCTATGAACGAACCCTAACAAGTAAGACGTTTATGTTCTGGGAGTTTTCATGTAGGATAGCATGTTTAAACTTGAACAAGAGTGCCACAGTCACCATTTTTTGCCCAATTTATGTATTAATTAAGTAAAAATTGGATTTCAGACAGTTCATTATCAACTGAAAAATGGCTCATTTACTGCAGGGTTTGCACTTAGTTTTTCTCCCCAATTCTCACTCAGTGAAATATTTAATCTGCCCAGGGGATCTGAAAGGCTTACATATAGTTTTATGTATCAGTGTGAATGTGAAGCAGAGCATAAACGGATGAGATTCTCGAAATTAAAATCATTAAGGGTTTACATAAACGAACACAAAACAGATAAATCTGATCTGATGTTTGCAAATGTGCTTCAGCATATTCAGTTGTGATTCATTATTAATCTGCCCCACTCGCAAATATAAAGAAAAGGTATGAAAAGAGATTAAAAAAAATAACATTTCGTTAAATATGGATAATAGCATCTTGTTTTTTTTATTTTATTTTACAAGTTATTTTATGTAATAAATTCAGAACAGATATATCTCAAGTCTTCAGTTCAGGCTGTTGTATTATTCACAGTGTATATTTTACTGATCCACTAAAAAACTCTTATTTTTTTAGGGATTTCACATGAGGGGATTTGAAGACTCAGACACAAATAGACACGAGCGCAGTTATACTGCGTGGTGAGCTCAGCCTCATTGTACTGTAGGAAAAGCGAGAGGGAGGATAATTGAAAGTCGTCAGAGGAAACACCAAAGCCAAGTAATAATAACTCTGGTGAGCCAAAGAGGAAATGAAGAGAGGCCTCATCTTTGGAATGGACAGTGGAGGACGTGCTGCAGTGCTGAATGTCATTATACTGACTGACTGCTGACAGGTAGTCCATTACCCAAGATGCACAGAGGATGAGGTGAAACCTCGCTCTGACAGGAAATGCAACGGGAGAGCCTAGAATTAGTTAGGAGGGGTGGCATCAAAAGAAAAACTAAATTGGAATGTGATATGTTGTTTATACCGAAGCCTTTGTTGTGATTTACGCATTTTAATTCTGTAGTCTGGGACTGACACACAGGACTTATTGACCTGGGAAATGAAACAGACTACACAGAAATATTTGGCAGTCCATGGTCACTACAAAGTTCAAAATCTGCAGTCAGCTGAAATGAGACCTTGACAGGTGATTTATATTTTATTCAGTCAGCATTAAAAAAAATAGTACGTGAGCATTAGAGTGAAGTGGGAGCATGCAAGAGTACCCTTTCAAGTAAACCTCGCAGGATGGTATGCTGAAATAAAACATGCAGCACATTATGTACATTATGCAACTGACATCCACTGGGGTTTGGGTGTATTTTAGCTCCATGCTAAAGCACGTATGATATGTGTTATGGTTTTATGGTTTTTCTGTTATGCACTTTTTTCATTTCATGGTGCTAAAAGTGGCAAAAAAATTCATAGAAAGAGGTGGATGTTGCTCCAATGTCACCATAAGCCTGTATCTAACCCCAAATGTTACAGAATCAGTCTATAACTGACTGTGCCTGGTCACTGATGACCTTGTACTGTGACACATCTCTTTGCAGTATGGAACTTGACCTTGAACCTTTCTATCTATTCTATTTCTATATAAAACAAGGTTGTCAGGACAAAATGTTGTCCTGCAGCAACTATGTTAATATTTGTTTACTCATTTTTTAGTTTTGATTTTTGCCAGTTTATCTCAAATAATTGCCATTTTTCATATTGCCGATTGCAAGTAATTGCCAACTGGACTCCGTTTAGCTGCAGACTGATTCCTACTGATTCTTAGTGCTCTCTTGATGTACCAAAGTTGCTTTAAAGACAGCAACTGACTGCGAGTGGTCTTCAAAGGCAATGAGATCACAAGTTCGTTTCACAATGTCTTGTTAATATTTTTTCCAAGTATGACTGTGTCATAATAGGTTAAAAAGCACTCGCACAAAGTTAACATGCTAATTCAAATGGTGATGTTGAACTTGCAATTTTCATGCCTCTGATAAAGACTAAGGTGTCTAGGTCTGGCACAAGGTTGTGCCATTATCTACTTGTAGCAGGGTAGTGGCCAAGCCACATTACTACAGCTACACTCCCTGAGACTAAAAGTGTCACAAAACCCCAAAATATGTCAAAATAGAATCTCAGTATGACCCACACTTTGAGAGCGAATGACATACTGCCAATGTGCAAGCCTAAGAACCATAGAGCAATGAAAATACATGTGCACAGCAGGTTTTAGTGCCTCAACCTGCTATGTTAGGACACAAAGTTACTCCAATCACATTACAGTAATCCAAAGCATTACTGTAAAAACAAATCAAGTAATCATATTAGCCAGTAATCCATCACTTATCCCTTTCCGACACACTCACCCATTCAAACCTTCAACTGGTACCGCAAGTTCTTCAATTATCTGCACGATGAGTACTCAGATAAAACAAAATCAAGGGTAATGTTTTTTCTGTGCACTTGGGCTACAATCAGCTGACTTCAGCTGATGTAGTAGGGGAAGAAAAATAGCAGAGCGGTGTCCAGCTTTCATTTTTCGCACAGTACTTTCGACAACATGCTGTCAAAGTGAGCAGTGAAGAACTCAGACTGATGTCAGAGTATATGCTGACCCCAGACAAGCATCTAAAGCTTCATTTTCAACAGGCAACAAAAGTAGTTACGGCACCTGTTCCTATCACAGAATCACTGTGGCCGTAACATTTTTCTTTGAAGTGCTGCATTTTAACTTTGCCCTCGGCTTTGTGTGAATTCTTAAACACTTACAAAAAGACCTTGTGTGTGTGTGTGTGTGTGTCCTCATTAGGATAGGCCAGGATACCGGTGTGTGGAACAAGGCTCATATTGTTAAACGGCAATTGTGTGCCAATGCATCTCAGGTGGTTATGCGAAATAACACAAAATTAATGTGATGAGTGGTGTTTCTAATTAATTTCTACAGGTATAATTAAGTAACATAGCATTTTAACCTTTAAAAAGTAACGAGTTATGTGTAATGCATTACTTTTTGGTGTAATAACCCCGATCTGTTAATGCTCCTAACAAGAATCACTTTGCAAGATGAAAAATTAGGCTCAAGGATACCCAAGGTAGCGTAAGTGTAATGTCAAGGGGTTCTGAACAAGCATCCAAGTGTGACGAGCTGGGTGTCACCATTATGGTGACCCCTTGTATTCCAGCAGAAGCCAAAATACACCTTGGGCATATCTCTGAGAGACCAGCAGCTTTGAAAAGAAAAAAAGAAAAAAAAAAAAAAACCTGGAAAAATCTGAGCACTGGGAATGAAAACAGGCTGCCTTCTGACCTGAAACCGCAACACTTCAGAACGGGGGTATCAAATATAAGGCCTGGGGGCCAGAATCGGCCTACCAAAGCCTCCAATCTGACCCACTGGAAGGGTTTGGAAAATGTTAAGGAGGGCATACATTTTAGACTTTTAGATGTGTTTTCATAAGTTTTACAGCTACCTCCAGTCATACTGCACCAACGTAAATAATTAGATAAACCATTATGAATTTATTTGAAATTAACAGTCGCAATGAGCTAACAGAACTTTTTCTGTAATTTTACATGTGTATTTCTTACAATTTAAGCCCAAAGCAGCGTTTCATTATCATGTAGAAAAACTGAGATATATTGTTGAAATTACACTTCTTTTTTAAAATTAAAATATCTCAGGGATTAAATGTGTGATTAAACTTCTTTACGCTGACAGAAATAGAGGAGTTTCACTGGTCCGTCCCACTTAAGATCAAAGTGGGCTGTGCATGGCCCACAGTGTGAAACGAGTTTGACTTCTCTGCTGTAAAAGAACAAAGAATAGTCTCATTAGCTCTCGGTACTCCGCTGAGTTTCTCTGAGACTTGGTTTAAACCTTTCTTGATCTTGCGAACATCAAATTTTGTGAATGGCACTTACACATCTGACCATGCAAGAGAATTTTATTAAGAAAAAGGTTTAGTCGCTTACTTCTGTGGTTATTTTCAATTGCCTCAGCACATCAGTGAGCACCATGTAAGAGTGAATGCTTCTGTATCTAAGCCTCTTTCATTCTGTGATACTATGAGAAACCTATCAAGATATCTTATTTCCCAGGCTCCTCATTTTAACGGGCTTATTGTGAAATCACAACGTCAAACAAAACTCACTTTTACACTTAAAGCAAAACTGAGACTGAGGTCGTTAAGCTGTCACAGGGATTGTCTCAATATAAAAGTAAGGATGGAGATGTGCACTTTGCCATCTTCACACTGAAATATTCTGCAAAATATAACGCCAGCTGTTAAATCATTAAAATTACATTTCACTGTTGTGCTCCAGAGCTGAAAAGCCAAGGTAAGACACCCCGGAGTAAAAGTAATTCCTACTTTTTTGGAGCCCCAAAACAAGGGAGCAAGATGAATGAGGTTTACAAAGTTGAGGCTGCTTCCAGCTGTGCGTCACCTTTCAAATTTTGTTTGTACTTCACAAAGTGATGCATGTGCCTCATGTTTTTCTGCTGTATTCAACCTCTCTTTCAAACAGACAGTTCAGTTCTCATTACATCTGTATTACTCACAGAGATGATGTCACATGAAATGCAGGAGTGAAGAATTCACCTCGCTGTGCTTCATCTTCTGCAGAATTGTGCAGCGCTCCTGTGATGAAGGTAAGCGCTCTGAGAGGTATGTGACCTCTTTGTTAGGGTGATGAATAAAGGCATCTGTGTTTACCATTGATGCACATGCTCAGCATCGGTTTATGTGCTTTTATCTGCTGCGCAGCACTGACCAAGTTACTTAAAAGTACAATAATAATAATAACAGATCATAGGCCCACATCATAATTATGGACTATGAAAGCATTAATTAATGCCCTTTGCTACAGTTCAAATAATGCTCAGCTGATATATTAACAGAGAGCTAATATCTGCTGATATTGGCATATATTCTTTGAATGCCACAAACACAGCTGTAAATGAGTAATCCATGACTGGCTGCCCCTTCCTGAGTCTGGTTCTGCTGGATGTTACTACCTTCAAAAAGGCTTAAAAAAAACTACATACAGCAAATGAACAGTTTCCTTAAGAAACAGAAAAAATTCCAGCAAACACCTGACGCAGGATCTGAGAGATGTATCTGGCCCTTCAGTTGATCCATCTACTGTTCACTGAGGCCACATCAGAAATGTCAAGTTATTCTTAAGGAGAGAAAACAAGGATAAAAGGCTGAGATATGTACACAAGAACTGGACTGAAAATGTGGAGCGATGAATCCAAATTTTTTGAAATTTTTGGTTCAAATCATCATCAATGTGTATGTAGAAGGTCAGGAGAGAGGTACACCAGTGAGTGTCTATGACCATCTGTAATACACAGTGGAGGCTCTGTCTTGGTTTTAGTTGCATTTCAGTTATTTGTGTTGGAGATCTTGTCAAAATCCATAAAATTATGAACACAGAAAAGGACCATTGATTGATACACCATGCAATACCATCTAGAAAACATCTGATTGCCATTAGCTTCATTTTTCAGCATGACAATGATCCCAAACACACTGCCAATGCAGTAAAGCATACCTGGATAGAAAAACACACAATGAAGCACTATCAGTCATGGATTGGCCTCCCTAGAGCCAGAAACATCCAAAGGAGAGCTTTGAATGTCATTCCAGAAACCGGTAGAATTATTCCTGAAGACTACTTAAGGAAATGACAAGAAACCTGCCTAAAAGAGTTCAGACTGTGCTGAAGAACAGAGTTGGTCACACCAAAAGTAGAGCTTCAAGGATGTTAGAATTGCACAAACTCTGTTTTATACTTTATTTCCATGTAGGTTTGCACAAATTTCAATAAATTGTTGCAGCTATTTCATTTTCCATTTGTACGTGGTAAATGGTGGAGCTTAAACTCTAGTGGGGAAGCAAAATATCTTAATTTAAGACTAAACTAATATGTTGTTGAATTGTTGCGCTCTTTTTGCCCTTTAGAAACGTTGCCAAGCCCACAGTATTTATTTTACCAAATTAACTACAAAATATAGCAATTATGAGGAGCCATGAGGTCACTTGTAAGTCATGTTTGTTTGGATTGTTTATAACATTTATAAAGACATCATGTCTCAAGAGAAGATACTACAGGCTTATTTTCAGTTTATTATGTTTATTCTAGGATTCTATTAAAGTAGCTTTGCGTGATTTCAGAGTTCAAAAGAACCCTCATTTATCTCAAACTGGGCCTTTAAGCCCCCTTAAATATAGAGATGGTTTAAACAGCAGGTGGGTAGGGTATACAGTCAGATCTATAAGCCTGAGCTGACCACAGACCAGGCAGGGATATTCATTCTCAGTGACATCACACAGAGACAAAAACAGGCAAAAAAGAGCTTTGGTGATTACTTTTACATACACGGACCTCATTACTTGAAACGTGTTTAATATGAGCATCCACAAATGAAAAACATAACAGGGCCCCCTTTTGAAATCTGGACACAGTTCATTAAACTAAATTGTGTCAAATATGTTCAAACTACTCTTTCCAGTAAGTTCCAATAAGGAAAACTGGGGGGGGGGGGACACACCATTTTAAGCAAACACTAAAAACTTCAATGGAACAACAATAAAGTGTTATCAATAGATGCTCAGGTGCAAAGAGCTTGTTATGATTGCCTGCCGAGTGGGTGCAAGCTAATTGCTCGATGTCGAGCTGTAGAGAGGATAGCGGAGTGTCAAATGCTCTTCAGGTGCAAATTTTCGCTCTGTTGCTATGTGCCATGGATATTACTGTGTGGCTGCTGAGGGCAATGTGCGAGGGTGGACTATAAATTCCTCAGAACTATGAAAGAAAGTTGCTCTGAAAACAATATATACACATTTGTACATAGGCACGAATGGGTAGTAGGGAACATAATAGCCTGTATTATTTGAAAATTAAGGTTAAATTTGACTTAATTAAGTGACTTCAATCCAGTAATCAATCAAGCAGTGCTGTTTTTGTCCCTTATGTTTTCTAACTGAATATATGGCTATTTAAGGAGTTGAACCTTTTGTGTATGATGGCCTTAATCATTTGGTTCAACATCATTTCCTCTCTTAGATGGATACAGCCATTTTTTCCCAGTCTGGAGTGGAAGAGTGGGCTCGTGTAGAGCTCAGCTCATACTTTATGGGATAAATTGGGGCGCCAATGCAAGCCAGGTTTTATCGCCCAAAATCAACACTGAGCCTCACAAATGCTGTTGGAGCTGAATGGGAGCAAATCCTCGAAAGCAGGCTCCAAGAATCTTGTGGGAAGCATTCCCATAAGTGTAGGCGCTGCTATATCAGCAGATTAATTCTCATGGTTTTGGAATGAAATCATATTAGGGTAGCACTTTCGGGTGTCTACTTGGGGATAAACCTATCCTACATCCTTGAGGGAGCACCAATATTCTTTGGATGTCTCCCAATCCCAATATCTCTTTGAACTTTACCTGTGCCATGTGACTATGGGGTCCGGAGATCCAGAAGTGATGCAAGTAAAGGTGACAGATTCCTGGTAGTCAGCTGTGGCATTGAAGGACTGCTGGAACACTGACAACACCGGAGGGACTGCAGACACACACAAAAAAAAGAAGAAAAGGAAATAACACATGGCGCTATTAGATCCTGAGAGTTAATCAAATCAATCCGGACTGAAAGCTAAAATTGGACTATAATCTAGCAAAACGTTCAGTATTCATAATGCTACATGGTGCAGGATTTTCACAAGAAGCAAATAAAAGACTTTCATGAGGATTGAATTGGCCTTGCGAGTGGCCTGTATGCAAGCGCTGGAAAAACGCTACTTCTGCTGGTAATCCCGTGGGGATTTCAAATAACATTTTGACCCAGCTTTGGTAAAAAAACCCCACAAAGGAACTGAATACACTGACGTGAGGCCATTATTCTATTGTGTGCCTCAGAAATGCTCCGTTAAATCTATATAAACAATGGCAAGACAGAAAATGTGTTTCAACATGAAAAAAAAACAGCTGTGAAAACTAACGCTTTCCTTTTGTGAATAAACTATTCCTGTCAAGCGCTCGAGCTCTGACAATTGTTCCTCGTCAGGCCAATTTCTGCAGAATCAAAAGCAGAAGTGCTTTGCTGCCCTGATTTTATAGGTCTGTGGTTTGATGGACATGCAAATGCAAACTCTTTTTTTAGGGCTACAAATGACTCGTATTTATTTACGCAGTGCTTCTTTCACTTTTCTTGCAATCAAAGTGAAATACGACAAGGACGCCCTTTGACAAATCTTTAAAATGTCTTCACAAATCATATTTACATATTTTTTGTTCATCTCCTATGGTTTATGTATTTTTTAAAGCACCTGGATCTTAATTTCTAATAAGAGTTTTCAGATGTATTTTTTGGGCCACCTGACACTACTAAATTCAAGAGAAAGGAGAAACTGGGACTCATATATACAAAACAGATGGATAAATAGAACCAGAGGCCTGAAGATTGATGCATTTGACTTTGGAGTGAACATTTATTTGCTTCAGTGCCCATACAACAGAAAAGCTTGGACATCAGAATCAAGAATGAACAGATGTGTCCAACATGATTTCATTTTACTGATAACAATGTTTCAAACAGTCACGATGGTACCGTACCTCATTTCACTGTATATAACCCTCATCTGCATGACTTTATCAGTCTCTTACATCATTGTGAAGGAATTTTGGTCCAATCCTCTTTAGAGCATTTATTCATACAAAATGTATTATTCAGGTCATTTAGATTTGTAGGTGGTCTTTTATTTACTTCTTTAGGTCCCACCACAGCATTTCACTTAGGTTAAAGTCTGGACTTTCAGTTTCAACCATTTTATTGTAGATTTGCTGCTCAGCTTAGCATCATTGCACTGCTGTGTGACCTAATTTGAGCCAAGATTTAGCTTCACATTTGACTCTAGAATACGTTGGTATACAGAGGAGTTCATGCCCAGGGTGCCCAGGTGCTGTGGCTACTAAATAAGCATTAATCATCCACCACTGTGCTTGACAGCAGCTATGACGTGTTTGGTTTTCACCGAAGTGGCCAAACATCTCCACTTTGGTTCCGTCTGTCCAAAGGACATTGCTCCAGAAGCCTTGTGGTTTGTTTAGATAAAGCAAACCTGACCCATGCTTCATGTTCTTTGTAGCATTCCAGGCAAACCACACTTATTCAGCCTTTTTCTAATGCTACTGTTATGAACTTTAACATCACAACAACGTGTTAACTGGGAGCTGTAGTCTGAGTTGTAGCTCTTGTGTGGGGAGGAATTGTAATTGTCTTTGTCACTGCAGAATGATGGACTTTAAATGCACTCATAATTCTTCCCTGACTGATAGGCAGCAATAATTCCTTCTCTAAGGTCAATACTGATGTCTTTCCTCCTCAGCACTGTGTTAGCACACACCTGTAAGCTACACGTGTGCACCCTCTGCAAACGTTCTGCTTTTATAGAGGTGCTCACACGTGCTGATGATCAATTAATTAACTGCTACCTATCCTCATAATTTCAATGGAAGCAGTAAAGGTGTACTTAGTTTTTCACAGGACTTCAAAGATTCTATTACTCTCAGTCATATATTTTTGCACAAACCATACCAAACTACTAGAAGTTCCCTTTAAATTCCTCTTTGTTTTTGCATGTTTTGCCACTGCATGTACTCTCGTTTGCTAAAATATGCGGTTATATCTGTCTAACTAACTGACATGCATCAGTCAGTGTCCACGTAAATGCAGCACGCTTTGCTAATCTTCCACAAGCAGCTGCATTGGCATGCTGGTAAACAGCAGAGGCCTTGATGACTTTATCAAGAGTATATGGTGAGCGCTGTCGGGAACATGTAGTGTGCCCCTGTCATGCAATCACCTGAGGGCTGTCATCTTGTCATTCAGTGAAAGGAGAGCGGAGGAAGAGCAGGCTTTTCTTCGTCACAAGGGAATGACAGCTTCATGGTGCAAGCATGTTTATCAGGCATCTCAATCCGTTTCACAAGCCTGTATTTACGCTGTACTTTGACTACCACTGTAACTGCTCCGCTGTGGTCCTGACCAGTCACAGGAAGTGATTAATCATGTCTGGAGCAGCTTATTGGAGCTTTGGAACATTTACTCCTCTATTTTGCTTCTGCTGGGCAGTTGACGACTATAGGTGAAAATCAATTAAGTGCACTACCTGAAATCCACTGAGTTAGAATAAGTGAACCAGTGAGTTGCAGTACTGTTGTTGATGTCTGTGGTTTAAGCTTTGAATTCAGGTCCATGAACCACCTAAAGTATCTTTGTGGCCTTTTGTTGTATTGTTTGTATAGTATTTATGGGTTTGTGTTTTCTACTTCTTTTTATTTTTATTTCATTTTGACTTTATGTTTTGAATTTAGTTTAGTTTCCAAATTAACTGTTCTTATTTCAATTCAGTGTTTTTCAGAGTTATTATATGGAGGGCACATGTCAGAGGCAGGACTGAGAAAAAACAGTAGGTAAAATCAGAGGTAATACAAAAAATAAACACAGAAACATCCACAGCCTTTTGAAAGCTGTTGACTCACAGGTTTGTTTCCATTCAGAGTCTCAATAAACATGTTTATCAATGTGTCATCAGTCAAGGTGTCATAAACTATACTACCTCTATGTTTTTATTTTAGTTCAATTCATTTTCCAACTCACAAAATTATTTCAGTTAATTTGCTTTTTTTTTTTAAGTCTAGCTTTTTTTTAATTTTTGGTTTAGTTTTAGGCAAAAGCACAGGCTGGAAGGATACTGGATCAATCCCATCACATCTGAAGGAGAAGATCAATGCTATCTCCACTTCTCTGTCTTCTCTTGATGAAAAGTCTGCTTTGCATGTTGAAAGGTCACCAAACTCCTCCTCCTTCTCTTTTTTCTCCCTTCTTTTCTAAACGAGGACCATCTAAAAGGTACGGGAGGAAAATAGTAAAAACGACTGAAGTCCAGACAACACGATGAGGACGTGCTATATTTATCAATTAGCCCACCAACTGCACCTACTGCATTTGCATAATTTCATCCGATTACAGCGTGAGCACAGTCGAGGTAAAGGAAATACTCGGTGTAATCATGTCCATCATGTGTTAACATCCAGATAACATCCAGCACACCTGGATACAGGCTGATGTGTAGGTTTAAATCAAGGTTTTAGCTTTATAGAAGCTAAATTTCGCTTCTTCCACAACGAGCTACCAAAATGAGGCATGTGCTGCCACCGGTGTGTTTACAAGATCTGGTCTGCTTGTAATTAGAAGGCATTAAATTAAAACAAACAAAATGCCCCAAATGCAGCAAATTAAAAACTGAAAATTTGTTCTATGTGATCAAACATGCACTCATTCCAATTCTCTAATTCTACCGCCATCTCGATATTTGAGCAAGTTAATTTATTCTCTAAGAAGAGGATCAACAAAACATTAGACCAACGCTACCCACACAGAGGTGTTGGAGCACATGAATGATGAAATTGCTGAAAAATGGGGACGCTTGCTATTAGGATCCAAACAAAAACCTGCTTCACAGGTACTGCAACTGGCAGCTGCGAAAGAGATTTTTTTCCCTTTGATCACGTCGAAAGGGTTGAAAAAGCTTGAAAGGCCTCACAAAAAAACAAGCTAAACGTGTTTTTAATATTCAAAAAATGTAAACAGCTCCTCATTTGGGGGTTTTGGAAGTTATTGAGAGATAATGAAAGGAATTTGTTCTCCAAGTGATGACATCCAGAGGACACTTATTCCACCTAGATCTAACCCCCCCCCCCCGACAACTCAAAGATGAAATTAAATATTAAAAATAGCTTCAGGACTCATTAGACTGCTGCTTTTTGATGAAGAACAGCGGCAAAGCAGGTAGACTTGCCTTTTTAAAAAAAACATACTGTGGATAGGGAATTCTAATCAAAACAAGGCATCAGCGCAGAAATGAAGCAATGCTTCTGTTCTGTAGTCTTTTTTTAAAGATCAGTTACACTAACAGCACCAGTGTGTATTACTATGAAGAAAAATACATCGGTACATCTACAGTTCCATAGTGTCTGATCTGTGTGCTATCTCATGTTGTCTATGTACTGTTTCTCCTAAAAACAAAGAAAAAAATCTATGAAAATCTCCTTTTTTTGTCTGTAAAATCAACACAATATGGAGTGCACGCACACACACATTTTAGGTGCAGAGAGCTTTTCAGGGATAAAAATGGCCTAAGCAATAATCAAACACAATGAGTCCTTTCCAATAGTTCTGACTCTGCGAGTGAGATGAGCAAGCATCTGGCTGACATGATAACCATTGATTTCCAAGCCAATAGATCTCTATTCTCCAGTGTGTGCCCTCCTCCCCTCTCTTTTCCTATGCAATACGCTCCCACATCAGCGGGCCTTGTTGAAACAGGCCTGTTAATGAGACAAACTGCCAAGCAAGGAGACTTCAAAAGAGCAAATCAGCAACAGGGTTTAAGCATCCAAAAAGAATCTGGCAAGCTTTATGAATTCTTCATGTATTAGTCAGATGCTTGAAACTTCAGAGGCTTGGGCGAGATAATGCTAGGTTCACAGACATGCCCACCA